TGAGCGCCATTTGACTCAGTGCACATTAGCCAATGCACCATGAAAATTGTGTGCTCGGAATTCGATGAAGTCGACGAAGGCCGTTTTTGCCTAGTTCTTATTGGAGAATATTCTACAGGTGAGAAAGTTATCGAAGTGGTTGAGAAGATGGATTTGGGATGGCGAAAGGTCTGAGAGTATGGTGGGTGAGGAAGAACTTCGACGTCCAATTCGTTTTAATTTTCGGGCAGTGATTTGTGAAACAAGCTTCTTCTGTAGATCAGTGCTGGCTGCTGATGATGCAATTTTCAGTACATTTCGTCGATTTCCGCACAATATCACTCTGCTGTGATGGTTTGGCTTAGTTGCAGGAAGTTATAGTGAATCGCACCAGTCACTGGCCACCTTACAATAACCATGGTCTTTTTAGTGGGTTTCCGCCTTTGGGATTTGTCTGTGTGGCTCATCGGTCTCCAACCACTCTCCTGAAAGTCTCCTCTTGTTGTAGAGGATTCAATTTTCACCACACGTGATAATCTGATCCAGAAAAGGATCGTTTTGGTTGCGCACAAGCAAAGAAGAACGGACCTCGAAACGTATTAATTTTTGACGATGGTGGCACCCACATTTCGAGCTCTTTGACCCTTCCAATAAGTTTTAAACAATCAAAAACCGCATAGGAGCTGACACCCAGTTCTTCCGTCATCCCACGCACCGTTTATAAGTCTACACCAAGGTCTTCAAATCCACAACATTTTGCCAAAGTCTCATTTGCCGATGTCTAGTGATGTCTGGAGTTTAGAAGTAGACTCGAGACATCACCAGAAGATGGCTCATGAGACTTTGCCGAAATGTTTTGAAAACAATGCTTGTGAGGAGGATCAAAAACACAGAAGACGTAGCGAAATCTGAAAAATATCGTATGTTTCATTCCGAAACGTCGGATGTGGATGACATTATTCCATTCAAGTGAAATTTTATCTCTTTCACATACTATACTGTGTAGCAATCCTGTGAATAGTATCTGATTCAGTTCCATAACGAATTTCCTGAATAAAAACTGAAAAGAAAAAAATGTTTATTGTATAATTCAATGTTTATATAAATGTAGCTACTTCTTTGCATGATTTACACAACTTTGTGGAGAGTTAGCTAAATAATTTTTTTTATATTATTTGCATATTTGATATATATATTTTGTGTAACTGATGTCAGTGACTTTTGCAGTTGACATCAAAAACTATATAATAATGTGTAACCTGAGACCTTTTCTAAAATACAGATTTTACGTTCTATTAGATTAGTTAATTACTTGAATTTTCAACCGAATAAATACGGTATTGAAATTCGACTCTGAACGTGTCAGTTCAATTTTATTTGGTCTTGATAATTGAATAACTTGCAAACGAGAATATTTGAGAGGTGTGGAATATGATATATCTGATTTTTACCTCAGTGTAACATCACATAATTAGGAATCAAGTTGTTATATTGAACAAGGACATGTGTTTTCTATAAGATAAGCGAAAATAAAAAGTTCATTTCGTATTACTTTGTTTTTGTACGTTCAGTCAAATGAAATAACTAGACAGTTGTCTTCAGTGTGTATCATCGAGACCTATTGATCTAATGTACCCATCAAGATTGCTAACGACCTGTGAGATATACGATATTCATGAAGTTCAATATGGTAATGAACAATCTGTAACTACCACTTAGTTTCAGAATTCCCTTTTGATTCTATCGATATATACGGTATCATTAAAGTCTTATGTTTTAATTAATGAAGCTGGAAATTTTCATTGATAGGGACACTTCGCCTATGTCCCAGATCCGGTAAATATTTTTATATTCAAAGGTCTAAAGGTCTCCTTAAATACCATATTTCATGTTGTTAATCCCTTATTGTTTGTATGTTTCAAGATGTTCATTATTTCAACAGACGGAAATTAAAGGAGGATCAAAACTTTAATTTCATTTTGAACTTCTTCAAGTGTTTATTGGAAGTTATTCAGTTCAAATTGAAAAATCTGCAAACTGTGTTCATCATCCACTGGAACATATTGAGATAATATGACTCCAGTACAGAACAGGTCTAATCCTTTTGTTTGAATGACCTGCAGTAATCTAAAAGACAACTGATTTTCTGAATGGCAATAATCCAATGTTAGAATTTTGAAATGCGAGTGCAACGTTTACAATGCTCGTCTGATGACACAGAGGTGAGCTGAAAACTATGCTATTTTCGACTTGGAGAAAGTTTTGCAAAATTTGTCGGATAATACTTTGAGAACATGCGATGTCACCGTAGAACTGGATCAGCCCTGTAAAATGAAAAATAATAAATTTTGGACGGTTCAAAGTTGGACACGTGCTTATAACGCGAATGGTATAAGCGTTTCTGAAATTGGGGTGAAACTAACCAAGTTAAATTGAATGCCACAAAAACCCAGGCATCGGTTTTCTCCAAGAAGATAAATGTCTCCGAACCGGATATAATAATGTCAGGTCAGATAAGTTTGTTGGGGGTTAAAATGGACACCAATATGTCTTGGCACAATCATGTCGCTGGGATTGCAAAGGCTGCTTCTCAAAAGCTTGGAACACTGTTCCTAACCAGAAAACTCAGCAACTTCTGTTGTTTTATAGAGCTCAGATCAGACCTTCTTTGGAGTATTGTTGTCATGTATGGAGCTCCCCCTTAAGCATACCCTGAAGCTGCTGAATTCCATCCATAAAAGGGCCATTCACCTGATTGAAGACACAAACATCACTTGCAACCTTGATAGTCTGGAATATCGAAGAAAGTTTGGAGATTTATCTCTCCTTTATAGATACTTCCACGGGAGGTGTTCAAATGACCTGTCACATTCGATTTCACCAAGAGCGGAACATATGGAAATACGCGACGGACTGTGGCTACTTATCGTTTTGAGGTGCAACTCAGTACTCCTCGAACTTCACTTTTCAAAAACTCTTTCATTTGGAGAGCTGCGTTTATGTGGAATAAACTTCAAATCCAATGTGAATCACTACTTTCGCACAGGTACCGCTCTTAGAGCTCCTTGAAGAGTTTCCTGTAGTGCTTGTGTTTTGTCCTTGAAAAAAAGGCCTTGAAACCATTGAAGATGACGGATGCCCTGGACTCCTCAGCACATCAACATCCGATGAAAACGTGGAAAAAGTGAAAGAAATGTTATGAACGATCGCCCAATCACACTCTAATAATGTCGGCATATCGATTGGCTCAAACCGTGAAATTTTCTCGAATTTTTGCGTATGAAACGTGTGACAGCAAAAGTAGTTCTAGAACTGTTTTGAGTGAAACTTGCGGCGAATGGAAGTTGCTCAGGAGTTCCTAAATGAAATCAACGACGCTGCAGAATTATTGAAATATGTTACAGGTGACGGAACAGTGGAGGTATTCTAGCTCGATAAGACCGAAAACGGCTTGACAAGTATGGTCAAACGAGAAGGCTATGCTTGCTCACTTGTGTTCTTCGATTTTAATGGCGTAGTGCATCATGAATTTTTGCCACGATGTCAAACAGTTAGTGAGGAATAGGTACTACCTACAAGTTCAACGTTATTTGCTTGAAGCAATCCGGAAATAATGCCCGCGTTTATGGAAAAACAATTCATAGCTTTAACACCTGCTTACACTTTATTAGTCTTTCATAAAAATTCTGTCCGAAAACAATACTGTAACGATCCTTCCAGCCTCCATATTCACCAGACACGGTTCCGTTTAACTTTTTCCCATTTAAAAAACGAAGAGAACCTTGAAGGATTTTACCGTAGTATGCGCTGGTCAGGCCCTATCCCCCGAAGCCCCGATACATTCGGGAGGGCGCGCCAGCATTATCATCCAACGACCATTCTCCACACTGTGGGGTAAGTGATCTTTGGTCCGGGAATCATATACCCTGAGTAATCGCAGTGAGCCAAGAATGACAGCCTTCTGCATCTGTCCGGCTAAGATTTCTGCCTTAGTGCGGCAAGCTGGTATGATTTTAGGATTCGAGAGTAGCGAGGGCATCATTCCACCACCAATAATCAGAACAATCATCTTGACAGAGTGATCTGGATAGAGTCTGCGGAGTTCAAAGAGAAAATCTCGATATTTTATCCGTTTTTCCTTATCTTTTCGGACCCACCAGTTGTCGACTTCAGCCCACTCGACCTGAGGAAAGCGAAAGTCAAGGGCTTTGATAAGTCAATGTTATTGAAGCCAATTTATTATTATTATTATTATTTCTATATTTTATTTTTCTTGATCTCTGCACTTCAAAGTGCTTTAATATTTTGTGAATTTTTACTTTTTCTCAATGACTGTTCTTTTATTATGACCACTCCTCTTTATTCTTTTTTCATTTGAGATTTTCATTATCATTTATTTTTTATCTATTCTATTCGGTAGATTTTCCAGAACTTCACTATGGATTAATACTTACTATTTCACTGTTATCATAAACTTATTTGAATGGTTTTTTGAGTAGAGATCAGCATCTTCTAGAATCGTTGTTTGTGGGGTAGGGTGTAACACAAGGAGATCATGTAACCGCAAAACTGGCCACGGCTCTTTTAATCTGCAATCGAAATCACCACAAATTAGGTAGTTTTCGACTGTCGTCGCTTTAATACATTTTCACTCATTCATTATTATTTTCTAAACACCACAAACTTGTTGCTTGAAAAAATACTCATAGCGTGTTAGGTATTTGTTGTACCTATCAAATCGTTAAACCATATGTGGTTTGGTTTTCTAATTGTTGGATGTTGTGAAATGATCCCGCCTCTGTTCTCGTACTCACACGGTATAATATTTTCGATGGGCTGTAGTTGAATGATCAATCCTAAGGTAAAACTCGATATAAAACAATTTCATATTGGTGCTAGGTCTCTGTTTATAACTTTTCAAAACCGTAGGTCCATGATGCCATGACAGGTAGGCGCTTGCGTCATGTTAGGGTGGGGTATACACTACACAAGAATTATTCTAGCCAGTCTGTGTGCGTCGACGGGCGGGTATGTTGAAGGTTGTTCACTCGAATTATACATGTTTTAAACAGAGAATAGCCTGATATATTGAAGAAAAATAGAATATCGCTCGTTTTTATCCATCTAGACGTATTTCAAGACATCGTTTAGAACAACATCGAAAAACAAAGCAATAATGTGTGTTTGGTGAATTCTAACCTCTACAAACTGAACATAGTGACAGAACGGCATATTCTGAATGATATTAACCAGTGGAAGTTTGTGATGAAGATCTAAGCGTTTCCGAGCGTCGATATTGTTTATTTTTGAATAGATACCCGCTTTCCGAGGGATTGTTTACATTGTATTAGTCCGTGCAGAAGTGCAGAATAACCCCTATCTGGCAAAACTGTGGGTGACATGTTGAAAGTAAACAGAAAGTAGGCGAGTTTAAAGGTAATTCATAGCTTTAATGTGTAGATACTAGAATATCTGGGCTTTCTTAGGGTATTGTAGCGCTGCCTTGTTCCTATGTGTCATTCGTTTTGGATGAACAGAGTTCGATTCGGTGTCTTTGACCAGCTCGGTGTGTTCGCTTGACATTCCATGATACAAACCGTGACTTTCGTCATCGCTGGTTTCTCGTTTCTCCGCTGTGGCTCGGAAACCTCGAACGAACTAGGCAAACGTTTTCTTGCTTACCTATCGATTTTCAGATGAAAACACCAATTAAATACCTCACCGATCTCGACACCCTCACGGATATCAGTTTCTTGATTTGATAGCAATTAACAAATTTGGCGACCTTGAAGTTGAATGTTCGTTTGAAGGTGTGCGAATGTGTGTAAATATTTGCCGCTTATTTGCAGATAACTATCTCGCCGATAGCTAACAAGTAATGCCTTTTTGAATTCCGCCCTAAGAGAATTTCTCATTGCACAGCATTCGCTGTATGTAGCTAACGTTTCACTTTATCTTCGTAAGATGTCGAGTTGAAGTAATAATATTGCCTGGCAGCTGTTAACGTATGTTAACATTTTGGCATTTTTCGAATACATACCCAGCAGAAAATTACTGTTTTAGCGGCCAGTCATTTTTAGAGTTCAAAAACCTTTGCATGGTATCCGATTTGACTAATTTCACAACAATTTCGGCTTAATCGATAATTCGTTGATTTTTTTCACGTTCCTCGGTGTTATTAAGAAATTCTTGGATATTTGTACACAAGTTCAGTAGTTTTTTGTGTGTGGGTAAGTCCTAGAATTATATACCTAGGCGATTGTCAGAATAACTGGAATAATCTTGAAATGAAAGGAAAACTACAATATGACAAACCCGATGAAAAACTTTGAGCAGTCTTTGCTGGTTTTTTTATTTTTACTCAAGAATACGGTCGTTTTTACAAATTATACAGCTGCCACGAAAGTCACAGAATTTCCTACGAATAAAATGAAATATTTAACATTTACCTGGTTTATCAATACACACAAAAAGAATGTTATAATCGAAGTTAGAAACAATAAAAACAACCTTCATGTTGCGACGAATTATCTCTTCAATCTGATAGTGCAATAGGAAATATTTGAAAAACTATACATTTTGAAATTCACTGGTCCCACCGATAAAATATAAATGATTACAATTACGTGGTAAACAATATAAAAAATGGGCATGCCACGAAAATGACAATTTCAACCTTTTTTCTCTTCTTTTGCATTCAACTTCATCTGGAAATATTTCAGATACATGAAATTCCTTGGAAACTTTTTACCTGGGTTTTAAATGCACAGTAAGTACCTATGTGGAATCACATAATAATGACTTTACCAGGTAAAATCCAACGATTTTATTTTATTTCAGAACTATGCACTACAAGATTATTTACAAAAACGCCCTCAAAGAACAAACTATTTGTCATGGTTGATAAAACTATTTGGTAAACTATTCTTATCTCTATCTGGAATTACTAGAAACAACGATAGTAACTCTATTTTTAATATTTCCTACTGTCACTATCATAGATATAAAATCTGTTATTAGTAAATCGTGATTCTCAAACATCTTTTTATTCATTCTGTAAGTTTCTTCATTGGTTTCCTGAGCTGGATTTCACCGGAAGTGAATTTCATCTTCATTCTTTCAAATCCAACACACCTATGTTTTGGATTTTGTGAGTTGAATTTGATAACATTTTTATGTAAAAAAAAAGAAGTAATTTAATTGTTTATGAAAAAAAATAATTACCATTTTTTTTAAATGGGTAGTTTCGTTGACTTGATTTTGAAATATCACAAACACCACAGCATCGAATGATTTTATGTGTGACGGTGGAAAAAATCGATCTTATTACTTGTCGATTTTCTTCTTTACAGGAATGCACATGACATATCAATTTAGCTCCTCCGTTAAATGATGTATAACTTTTCCGTTAACGACCATTAAAAAAAATTGATTAGATCATACGTAGTGTTGCCAAATGATGCACAATATTTTAACAATATAAGGCATGACATGAAATTTCAATAATTTCCAGAGAAATGCTTTTTAGGGATTCATCTGATATTGTTCCTTAAAAAAAGTGTCAACAAAAGAAATAGTTTTCCAGAAATATGATAGAACTTGACCTATACTTGATGAATATAATCGATTATAACGTGGTTTGGTTCCTTATGTTTTCTACTAAAGTCATTGAATTTATAATGCTGTGAGGTGGGACGAAATTGGTAATATTTTTGAACAACTTGTTAAGACGTATTCCTAGTTCCACGCCACATAATTCAATTTTAGTTTCATTCGATGTAAAGAGTATGTTCTTCAACATACCGTACAACGAGTGTAAGCCACTAATTTTAGACATATTAGACTAAGCCAAAGTAAACCATATCATTTCTTTTGAAGTTTCAACACTTTTCGATGTGTGCATGAATCAGAGCTACCTACAGTTCAACAACAAATTCTATAAACAGGATTCAGGTTTACCAATGGGCTCACCCCTTAGTCCACTTTTAGCAGACATATTCATGAACAACTTGGAGACCACTATAGTAAACTCCGACCTGGGTAAAAAACATATTCATTTCTGGTACAGATTTGTAGACGATATTCTTGCCTGTTCAGAGGTACTACACGACAGCTGAACCAATTTATGACATTCATGAACATTCTCAATAGCAACATTCAGTTCACACTCGAAACAGAAATAGAGAAACAAATAAATTTCTTAGACCTGGCCATTACAGACAATCAGAATAAATTCGAGTTCAATGTTTTCAGAAAACCTAGCTGTACAGACATCACCATCCCAAGCGATTCTTTCCATCCAGACAGTCATAAATTAGCAGCCTACAACTCAATGTTGCACAGAGCATTCGCACTGCTTTTGTCTGCAGACAATCTAGCTACGGAAATTGATACAATTACACAGATAGGTCATAATAATGGTTTCAACGCAAATACTATCCAGAAGTTAGTCAGGAAACAAAGCCGGAAATTCACTCACAGATTAATATATCCTCAGGTCAAACAACCAGAAATCAAGAAATGGGTAACGCTAACATATTTTGGAAAAAGAACAGAAATAATCGCAGGTTTCTTCAGAAAAAACAATGTGGAAGTAGCATTCAGACCACATGCCAGGTTATCTCATTTCCTTTTCAATGCCAAAGATAAGGTCGACAAGTTGGAAAAATCTTGAGTTTATAAGCTTAAGTGTCCGGAGTGTAATAGTGTTTATGTGGGACAATGCGGTCGAAATTTCCAAAAACGGTATGCTGAACATGAAAGTTCCTTCAGACTAGGAAAAAATGATTCGACGTTTTCAAACCATTCCTTGGCATGCAACCACAAGTTTCCGAATCTAAACGATACGGAAATTCTGCACTATGTAAGGAAGGGTTGCAAACTCAATTATTTAGAATCCTTGGAAATTTACAGGCATAAACATTGCGGGTACAACCTGTTAAATGATCAAATCGATTCAGTTTATTTACTCTCCGGTTTTTAAATTGGCACATCCGCATTGTGAACTGTAAATTCAGGTACTCAATCAAGTACCTGAATGGTATAAATTGGCGAATGTAATGAATCATTGTTAGTTTATTGTATTAGTTTGAGAATGTCCATATAGGACGAAACTGCAGTAACGTTAGTAACAATTAAAAGTGGTAAAAAACATAGCAATTCCATTTCCATCAATTTATTCCAAAGTTTGTTTTTCTATCTTTCTAGCGACAGTTCTCTCAGTAGAGTCTATCTGTATCTGTAGACTAGGGAGGGTGAGTATAGACCCACAGCACTTACGCCACATGTGTACATCATCCCGAGGAGTTGTCCTCCTAGGTCATCGTCCATCCTGTCCTTTCTAGGAAGGTGGACAGGTCACTAGGAGATATCTCTTTTATATTGGCAGGTGTAGGCCAAGACTCGCCAAACACACACTCTCTTTGGCAACCTTGAGGTGTCTCACGGTGGCCTCCGCGAAGGTTTTGGAGGTTGAAGCGACATTACTATCGTTGCGCGGGGTTCCCTCCGTGGAGGTGCACAAATGAGGGAGCTTTCCTGCAGGGGCAGCCGGCTCCTTGCCTTTATTCAAGGCGGAGCCTTTGGCGCCCGCCGTAGGAAGTACCCTTGCTGTTGGAGGTTAAGTGGGGGAGTGTGCACTTATAGTTGCTGCCACTCCTGCCTCCTTCGCTCTTTTCCTCCTTTTGGCCTTGGCGCCGCAAATGCGCTTACGCCTTGGCCTTTGTATCACGAGGTGATCTGCTATGTCCAGCCTCATTCCAAGCGGTAGATTGGGGTGAACATTTCTGTTCATCCCCAGCCACCGCCTTAGATTGAGGTGAGCACTTATCTCCAGCCTCGGGATTGGTTTTTGTTGTCTCTGTTTTTGTGTTTGTGTCATTCACGTGTGTTCCTACGAGTAGCGAGGGAAGAGTTGGTCACCTCTGGCAAAGCCTCGTATTACCAGAGGTAGGCTGATTACAATGAGGTTTCGCCCCAAGGGGATCGTTCGTGACCGCATATCACCCTGCGGCCATTCCGCTGTCGGCACGATCCCTTACACCTTAGCTTAGGTAGGCTGGTCCACAGTGGCATGTTTTGCAAAGGCTCTTGGGAAGTTTTAGTTTCCCTTACCCTATTTATTTCTGCCACTGACCAGGAGTCCGGCGACCCCGTCTGTGAGGCCACATTGGCTTTCCGGACAGGGCCTCCAGTCCCCTGGCCGTTCACCTATCCGCCTTTTGGCGACGCGCCCGATAGGTAGCCCAACCCACGGGTCAGTAGAGTCTAAAAACTTAAGATTTATTTCCTTTGGCGAAAACCTACACCTTTCATACAATCTTTAATGTATCCACCAATGACACACTGTCAAAATCGAAGTGCCTCCTTCGCAACTAGAAGTGTTGGGTACAGTCACTCATCAATTAATTCATGTTCACAACAAGATACAAGATGTA